TTCTAGAAAATACATGTTGCATTAGAATAATGTTTTATTTCTCACTCATGAACCTTGCAATTTCAGAAAAAGAATATAAGAGAAGATTTGTTTTATACATGTTATCTAAGGTTAAATGACATATTAAATAAACACAGTGTGATTCCTAGAAACTCAGAAACAACTGGTGTTGCGTTTGAAAAGTGCTTTTTCCAAACACTTGCTTTAAAGTGATATATTTATGATGATGATCGAATCAACTTGTACAGATAAAACTACAAATAAGTTCAACTAAAGATCTAATACCAAGCATTGCACTCCTAACAAGTGATGGTTATGATAGCTTCATGCAAGTTTTTATTTGTGTGTAGCTGTCGTTTTATTTTTACGATGTCAATCTATCGAATTCCTCGAGACTCCCAAATAACATTTAAAGTGTGATATAAGTTATTCACACGTAATTGCATCACTTCATTCTTACTCTCTTTAGAATAATTTAAAATTTTTTGGAATCTGAAAGTAGGTAAAAAGATGTACAATTTGTGTGTTCTGTGTTTCGTCAACATGTATGATTTATATACTGTATTACTGTTTTCACAGCCTAATATGCATAGTATAAAACGCTATGGCATATTGTGTGCATTGATTCATTTTTAAGCATTTCAATTCCTAATGATTACCTCTTATTTATCTTGGCAACTCCTGATCGAGTCCCTCAAATCGACAAACACAGCAAACAATTGTTATCAGAATAATACCTAAGGACAGTAGGTAGCCTATTTAACACACACACGTACACACACATATATATACATACACACTCACACATACACGCATATATATATGCATACACACTCACACATACACACACACACACACACATATATACATACACTCACACACACACACATATATATATACAAAATCTGAAGAAAATATTTTGAGATTGTATGCTGGTAATTATAATTAACCACAGCATTAGGATGCAATTTTAATACAGACCAGAATTATTTGTTATACAATATTTATCGCATGATGTTAATTTTCTCCAACTACGTTCCAATTAACCCGGTATAAGTTGATTTACTAAAGTACACAGATATTAATCTAGTCGTAACTTAATTGTATAACTGATTTTTATTACATACAACAGAATTACTACATAAACTATATTTTGGTTTTGTTGCACTTTAGATCATAATACAGTAGTATTATTTTAATACGATCTTCTTGGAGCACTTGTAAAATGCAGTGTTTACTTTTTTATTTGTTTCGTAAATACAGCGTATTTTTATTTTGGTTTTTGATCTGGAAATATACCTAGTTCCTTTGAAACAATATTCATGACGTAATTCTTTTGAATAATCTTTTTATTGCTTAATGACATTTAATAATAATGCACTTGTTAGATAGGATTCTCACATCCGCTTGAATTGTTATTGGATTTTCCTTGCTAGGTACGAGGTTAATTTTTGATGCAAATAATTAAACGTTATATACCAGCCATTTTTCAAGTGTTGAAGAATGTATTTCTGGGATCACAAAAAATAAAAAAACACATCTTCATGAGTAATTCTGCCTCTGAGTATTGATATCATTTCCACAAGTTAAGTCAAGCTTATCACTTTGTCAAAAAACAAAAATCTATCTTTATCTTGAATATAAAACGTCATATAGTTAGTTATTTTAAAACAGTTATTTTCATAAACAAATTATCACATCCACAGAAACAAGACCACAACATTACTTAAATACAATAGTCATATGTTCTGCACAACTAGTAATGACAAACCTGTTTTAACCACATGAAATACAATACCTCATCCAACACAACATTTAAAATATAACAATTTGATTACTGGTAGTACACGGTGTCATCATTCATTAAATAACAATGGAGTTACTGACAACGAAGCCTAAAGGATCTGATATATATATATATATGTATATATTATCCAACTGTAGTTTATGGTAAATACGTTATCTAGTTTTTCAACTCAGTTATCGTTCCCAAATATTCAGATATACAGTCTTTGATTTGGGTTCAGTCGCAATCTTCACTGGATTATGTCGATTAATTAATCATACACCTCACTGCATTTGCGATTCCATCAACTTAGGTCGTCGGGTACATTGGATTATATATTATCAATATATTTATAATTCTATTGATTATTCAATATACACAAGCACAATTATTATCACTATATTGGTTAATTATATACACCATTTTTATTTGTGACCGATTTAATAATATATGCCTACCTCTAAATTTTAGTTAAATAATGATATAAATTAACTAATTTATGCCCCATTTGCTATAAATGTGTGTTAACTTTTCAATCCAGTAGATAATAATACAGATAATTTCTAGGTCCTTATACTACTGATGTATAGATTTATTTCTTTATCGCTTTAACAGCTAATTAAACACCGAATGATTTCTCATTTGATAATAAGGATTAGGTTTTACACAACATAATAGTTTTCATTTATGCAGTAATGAAGATTTTTTTTTACACAAAACACTTTAAGTCTTTAGAAAAAAAATTAAGAATTGTTTATTTTTTCACTTGCCTGATAAATAATAATATCGCTGGAATAGATACTGCGAAAAACATGTATAATTACTGAAATAAAAAGATAATTATGGATGTAGTAAGTGAAGTAACGCATTGTGCTTAGGAGTGGAAGAAACTGTCAAAAATAAAATTGTCGTTTGCAGCTTTTTTCTCTCTAGATAATCAAATTATTATGTTATCATCGCAACACCAAATCAACGATAAATGGTTTGATAAATATATGTTGGCAGCAAAATAAAACAAGAATATGGAAAAGGACAACGTTTTCTTATTCTGTAATCACGACAATATCACCTGAGTGTAATATGTTGCATTTCACGTAAAATATAACTTGTATATTTATATTATCATAATAAGCTGGGCAGCTGCCCTGTTGCCAATCCCAGGCAAAAATGTCCAGGTAATAGACACGTAGTATGCAAGCATACTATGTATTTTATATCTCCGTGAACTCTTAAAGTACAACTAGATTTTTGTTTCAATTTTTGTGCTTACATGTGTATATAAATTACAAAATAGAACATTGGTCAAACAAAGCTTAAATTTAAAAAAAAATCAACTTAAACGCATACTTGGTCGTTACTACCCTCAAGTGGATTTCAGATTAGTTTTTAAATCCACATCACGCATAAAAAAAATTTTCCCTACTAAAGATCTCCTCCACATTCCTCATTGTTCCTGGTTTGTCTATCTTTACACGCGTGGAAACTGTAAGGCCTCCTATATTGGCAAAACCAAACGCCATTTAAAAGTCACAGCCTATGAACATATGGGAATTTCCATCAAAACGCAAACAAAATTGAGTAACCCCTGTGTTTCCTCTATACGCCAACACAGTGAAGAAACAGGACATCAACCTATACTATCAAATTTCTCTATCCTCTGCAAGTCTAATACTGACCTGAAATTATTGATTAAAGAAACCCTCACATCAAACAGCATTCTCCAACACTGAACAACATTTAAATTATACATTTTTTAATATGTTCGTATTACTGATTTTATCCTTTTATTTGTTGTGTGTTCTTGCTGTAGTTTCTCCCCATGATTACTGTTTTGTGTTTTATTTCTTTAATTATCGTTATATTTAGCAATTGTACTTTGACAATGTCCAAACCAAAAACTTGTGTTAATTTATTCTATTCATTTTAATTGCTGAATAAAGATAAGTTTTTCACTTTGTTCATATTGTGTCTGGTCCCTTTCTTCAGAGTCAATCAAAGATAGAGAACTCGGTTTAAGTTCGTAATGCATTTTCTGTTCAAACCGTCTTGTTATTAGCGGGTTCTTCCGAATCTGTCTAGAAAAACAGTTTGTTTGTTGAATTTCACGAAAGGTTTCTCAATAGCTATCTGTGTTGACCGTCCCTAATTTATTGATAGACACCACCAACAGCCAGCTCTTGGGCTACTCTAATCGAACAATGGGATTGATCGTCACGTTATAACGCTCCCACGACTAAAAGAGCAAGCATGTTTAATGATGGGATTCGAACCCAGAGGTTAAGAGTCGAGCGTCATAACCATCAGCCCACACCAGGCCTTATTTGAAAGTACCACAGATGCAATGAGTTGGGTTCTAGCTTCATTAGTTTCCTAAACAAGACCAGTGAGATTCAAATATGTTTAAGTCTCCTACCTCTAAAAATATCATTTTGGTTTTCATAAACTATTGCGATTAGAAGGCTTGTTTATATATATATATTTTGATATTCCTTCAACGTGTGTTTTTGAGTACAAGTACCACAAAGTAAATTTAAACGAAAAAAGTACCTTCTAATAACCTTTTATAGGTTAAGTTTAAATGAATAAATACAGGGTGTCCATAAATTAGCTGACCCATTTTAAAAATTAATAACTTGTAAAATATTATAGATAGAACACTCCGGTTATATTTAGCTTGACGAACAACTCATAAAGTTTTTTCTTCTTCCTTTCTGTTGCAGATCCGTTGTAGGAGCATTGCTAGAAAATAGAAAAAGTGAAAAACAGAAATGACAACACCCAGGAAAAGGTATAATGTATGGTTTGGTTTGTTGAATTCAAATCAGTCGTGTCCGTGAAACGAAATTACCGACAAGAATAGCATAAAAATTTGGTTTAAAAGATTCCTAGCAACTGGTAGTGTGGTGAAACGAAAGGGAGCTAGACGTCCTAGTGTATCTGATGCAACAGTTGATCGTGTGCAAGAGACGTTTCATAGAAGCACACGGTGCACATGTATAAGTATACTAAGATAAGAAAAAACTTTATGATCAGATCATTTATGGACACCCTGTATAATAGTTGAAAATAGTGTATGCACAATTGTTTTGCTCGTACAAATGAAACTCTTACACTGAATATTTCAGTAACACTCACTAGATGGCATCATTCACTGCTAGAACAGTAGAGTCAGTTTGATTAATTTTTATATTTGTCACTAGAAGACATTAAATTTTTAAAACCTGTGTTCGTTATCGTTAAATAGAGAGTTATTTGGTAAAGTTTCGATTGAAGGGCCTGAACTAAGAAGAATATGGGGATCAGCTATATAGTTCTCATTATTTGTCAGAAAATAAACTTGGTCAGTATTGCTATTAATAATTCTGTTCTGATCTTGTCCGGTGGTGTTAGCGAATCTTCTGCTGTGAAATGACCCAAGTGGTTTTCCCGAAGCAATTGTAGTTCTAGTCCGCTGGGATCCTACAAAAAGATATTTCTGTACCTGATTTAAATTGTTAGCATACACATTTAAAACAAAACAAAAATATCATATGGATAAAAACTGCTTGCTGTAAACAACATATAAATAGTTCAATTTTAGGCAAGTATTTTTGAATCTCAAACATTTGTCTTTTAAAACAACAACAACACAAAAACACCATTACGTTTGTACATTGTGGAAGTAGTTTAAATGAATTGTTGTATTACCATGTTAACAAAGTGTCCTTTATTTTAGTAACACTACAAAGGCTGTAGTATTTGTTATAAAACTATTAAAAAAGCTAATAATTTCCCAGGTTTAATAACTTAGCATTATATATAAATAAAATAATACGATTACAAACAGTTGAATATCTTTTAAAATGAAAAATGACTATTTATTTCAATAGTATGTAGGGAACTATACTTCCAAAAATAAGAAAATTAAACTATTGTGTTATCAGAAATGGCTAATTGTACCCTACCCTGTATAAGAACAATATATATATATATATATAATTAATATATACTATGTTTATTATTGTTACTTCGTTCTTATGCAAGTTATATTAGACAGATTTGTGATTAACTTCTGTTAATAACTTAAATTTCGGTAAGTCGTCAGTATAACGGAAAGGAAAAGCACATGAATTAAATTTTGTCACTCCTTCCAAAAAGATATTTTCATAAAAGTACAAATAAAAACTAGATAAAATTGGCTGTCCTAGGAATGGCAATTACTCAATTTTACAATTAAATAGAGTATATTTTTGGGATTCCATGAAATGGCTGGCTAAAGTAACTTCAATTACACAGGCCTACGAATTTGAACTTCATAAGAATTGTTTTGGTTTTAATAACGGATTTTCATAATTCAGCTACTCACATTTCGAAAATAATATTCATTTTTCTTCCTATCACGTAAAAATTTGTTTACAAATCGGGGAAAAAAATTCTTACTTAGTTCAAATTTACAACAAATATAACAGGATATGTTTGGGTCATTTACACAGACTCTCGTTGCCATAGCGACGAATAAATAATATCGAAAAGGTAGAAATAATGTCAAAGTTCACGCACACACAAACACTATTCAGAAATTACAAGTCATACGGCCTGTTAACCGTTTATATACTAGCGGTGTGTTTCTCGTGGGTTCTAGAACGATCGATAAGACCCTCACGTCGCGATTGGTCTAGAGAAATCTATGGCCAGTGGTTGTCAACATTTTAAACATAGCAAAATTTGACCCGATTTCAATGAAAATGATTCACTTATGTAAAAGTACATATGACGTTTTGTGAAAAATCTTTACGTGATGGAGAAAAAATGAATATCATTTTCGGATTCAGCGTACAGGAATTACTGTATTAGTGTATTAATTTTCTGTATTTTATAAGTAATTCGTTAGATATCTATACTCTGTAATTTACCGGGTTTGTTCTGTGAAGTAACTGATCTCTTGCAAAAGAGAACAGCACACAATCCCTGTCGCAGGTTAGTACCGAAGCTTCCATAAATGATGGGATTGATAGCACTGTTTGAATAAGCAATGTATGTTGCGAAGTAATTAAGAAGAGGGAACCAATCAGGAAGCTGGAAAACACAAAAATAACATTCTTAAATACTTCCAAAATCAAAGTTCAGCAGTTCGTAATTGTCATAAATATTCATCATTAACTAAAATAGGAAATAACCAGAAATTAAAACTAATTTCCGTGAAGTTAGTGGGACATGAAGTTTGTGTCTAAAAGACGCAACAAAGTGTTGAATTTCTGCATTTCTTCGTATAGAAATATATTTTATGTTAAATGTAACATAAACATCCACTCGGCATTTTATACTATTTTTTTCGGTATCGAAGTACTTAAGGTGTCATTTCTTTTCTTCTTTTTTTAAGTACTCTACCAAAAGTAATTATAGTAAGATGTATCCTTACATCCCAACCAAAGTTTCTACTCATGAATTCGAGACAAATTAACTTCAGTTTGTTTGTGTGTATTTAAGCATATCTGTGCTCTCTCTTCCCACCATGGGTACCGAAACCCCGATTTTTAGCGTTGTAAATCCGCAGACATGCCGCTGGAGGGGCATTTACTTTAGTTTGTTTGAGAACAAAACCACATTGAGCTATCTGCTGTATCCACCTCAAGAACTCGAACTCCATGTTCTTCCGTTATAAATTCGTAGACTTACCACTAACCCACCGGGAAACAATAAATTAATACCTCACATGTCTTTTTTAATATTGTTTTTTTTTAGTAAATAATATTCATTAATAATATGTTTGATTATTTTATTTCCGTTGTATTTATCTCCTCCTAATAGTATAAGCGTGCTCAATTCCTTTTTTAAACTCGTCTGGTTATACTGAAGTAGTGTAAAATTTGACATTCAAGAATGAATGACTCAATAGGGGAATTAGGAAAGTGACAGGCATGAACTCACCTCACCACTGATACTACTGAAATGTCCAAACTGAGAGTAGAGGACAATGGCTTGAAATGGCATCCAACAACAAATAAAGGCTGCCAATACCACGGTGACAAGTTTAATTACCTGAAGTGAAACCAAATATTTTTATAACTGTTTCAAACCCAATTACAACTCTTTTTACTTTAAATTATATCACTCCCACTTGAAAACAATTACAGCTCATTTACTTTAAGTGATATCACTCCCAGTTGAAGACACTTACAGCTCATTTACTTTAAATGATATCACTCCCAGTTGAAGACAATTACAACTCCTTTACTTTAAATTATATCACTCCCACTTGAATGGAGCTGTAATTGTTTAACTTTAAATTATATCACTCCCACTTGAAGACACTTACAGCTCATTTACTTTAAATGATATCACTCCCAGTTGAAGATAATTACAGCTCATTTACTTTAAATGATATCACTCCCAGATGAAGACAATTACAATTCCTTTACTTTGAATTATATCACTCCCACTTGGAAACAATTACAGCTCCATTACTTTAAATTATATCACTCCCACTTGAAGACACTTACAGCTCATTTACTTTAAATGATATCACTCCCAGATGAAGACAATTACCACTCCTTTACTTTAAATTATATCACTTCCACTTGAAAACACTTACAGCTCATTTACTTTAAATTATATCACTCCCACTTGAAAACAATTACAGCTCATTTACTTTAAATGATATCACTCCCACTTGAAAACAATTAC